GAATGAGTTCTCTAACATCAGCTATTGCTGGTGATAGAAATCTATAGTGTTTGTTAAAATTCCCAAAGTGGCTATGGCTTTCAGTGGTTTGAAAGCAATTGTTTATATCCCCGGCAGTTCTCCTAACAAATGGCATGGCTTGTAAAACTCTATTTTTGCGCTTTTTTCCCCCCTTTTGTTTCTTCCATAGCTACTGGGGGGAGGGAGGAGGAGAACCCCCCGTTTTATAACTGAAGCTTAAAATGCAAACTGTCAGATCATGGAAGGCATTAATTTCTAACTAGTCAATCATGAAAATATTGTTAAAATGACTGGTGCAATGAGTGAATTCAGAGCAACCTGCTATTCAAAGCACTGGTCTTGAACTAGTGATTAGATCGTTTACTGTCAGAAGTATTAGGTGGTAATATGATGTGTGGTATATTTAATGCATGTGTTAATGAATTATGGTTAGCCAACTCCTAATCTTGGCAAGAAGTGCCCAGTTAAAATTAGAAAGCATTCAGAAAATTATTCATTGTGTGCCCATTTCATATGTCTAAACTCTTCACTAGCTCTTAATTTTTAAGATTGTCATTTACTTAAATGCCAGTACTTCCACAATTTTCTTGTATAGAAAGCAAGGAGTTGAGTACTTAAATCTAGAGGAAATCTTTGCACTTAAATAGATCAGCAATTTTTAAAATACTTCTGTTGAACTCCTGCACTAGAATGAATGTTAAACAGGCTTTTCGAAAGAACTGAGGCTACTCTCCCTTAGCAGAACCCTAAACAATCTTCATTTCTAATATGTAGCAGCACATCGCGCATGTGACCAAACATTCTTCTGGTAACTTAACCATGAGTCTGAGAAGGAAAACAATGACATTGCAAGAGTTTCATACTCCTTCTCACTGTTAAGACTTATCACTAAGTCTTTAAATAGCAATGCTGAACCTCATTGTCACTTAGTGCTACACAAACTCTGCGATCTCAGAACCTTTTGAATTTTTCTGAAATGCATCCCCTTGCTAGTATGTAACAACCTATAACAAGCAGCTATGGGAATCTTGCTTTTGTCTCACAGAAGATGTTAAAGCCTCAAATCAGCAAACTTCTTAATTCATAGGTTTTTTCCCCTAGTTCTTGTGCATCTTCTGATCATCTTGTTTGTATAGTTTGGAGGGGGAGAGGGGACATTTCACCTTATGTCCATCCAAGCTGATTACTTTCTGAAATATGGAGTCTTCCAACTTCAGTTATCTGTGTATGTGAATTTTCATGACAAGTCATTCCCCAGTATTAAATTAGGAAGCTATTTTAATGAGTTCAAATTATTTTTTCATGATTAAATGGGTAAACTACCAATACTTCAGGCTATCTAAGGTTCATATGAAGTGTGTTCTATGAATATATGCAATCAAGCAAAGGCTGGGCTTCCTGTTCAAGGATTTTAGCAACTAATATTCCTTCTGAAAATAACTTGGACACACTTTTGATTGCAAATATTTTTAGTAGAGCAGAGCAAGGGACTACTGCAGCTTAGAAGTTGGTACAGCAAAACTCCATTAGTCTGGCATCCAATGCTCCGGGATTCCTGATGGTCCGGCACCATCAGGAACCCGGAAGTGCTGGGGCAGCGGGACAGGCTTCCCCCATTCAGCTGCTGCTGAAACTGACCAGCAGCTGAATCGGGGCCAACCCCGGCAGCACCCCAGCTCCTCTGTCCCAGGCGTCCCCAAGAGCAGCTGGAGCGCTGCTGGGTTGGTGCCGTAGCGCTGCCCCTCGGCACTGCAGGACCAACCCGGCAGCACCCCAGCTGCTCTATTGCAGGCATCCCTGATTCAGCTGTTGCTGAAACTGACCAGCAGCGGCTGAATCAGGGACGCCTGGGGCAGAGCCGGACTATGGTAAGGGGGGGGCTATGAGGGGTCTGGGGTGGCATCCCCTCCCGCCCCACTCCAGACCCCTCATAGCCCCCCCCTTCTGATAGTCCAGCATATCTGATAATCCGGCACCCCCGGGTCCTAAAGGTGCCGGATTATTGGAAGTTTACTGTACTTTAGCATGAGAATTAAGCTCTAGGTAGTCAGTTATGTTTCTGCTGACCTCCCACACTGAAGTCTAACACGTTTTATGGTCAACTTCCTCATCTGTTCTGGACTAAAACTTATTCAGGTTTTGAACCCCTGCCAGTTGAGCTGAGAGAATCTGATTTTATCTGAATCTTTTAAAAACCTCCAGTAGGTGCCCATTCCAGAAATTCAGCCAGTATATAAATAATATACCATGAATGCTCAAAGCTTCCCATCCCTTTCTTGCCTACTGCTGCTAGTTGAGCTGGTTTTATTTTGAGGGGAGAACTCTCTGCCTTTGGTATAACAAGCCTACATGACTGTTTTTTCACTGTGGCTGTAAGCATAGACCTGGTCTTAATGAAAATGCCTGTCAGGCTGGGACCATTAACTGAAATGAACAGTTAAAGCTTTTAAAGGTGGTTATCAAAGGCTGGCAATAAGTAATCTTCCTCAAGGTAGCCTAATGTTTCTAAGATCAAATGATATTGTATTGGAAGGGGGGAAGACAATCTGGAGCAATAAACAGGCTAGGAGGAACCCTGGGATCCTATGAAGTCTCAACTTCCTCTGACAAATTAGTTTGGTACCACTTCCTTGCACAATAGGAAGTTTAAGACTCCTCTCCTGGTGTATTAAAATTTAAGTTACTAATATTCCTACTTTTCTGCTGACAACTAGTAAAGTAGCCTTGGCACCTGTGGTTTTTAATACTGGATCTAAAAGTGGTAGTTTCGCTGCCACTTAACTGCACTTTTCTGGTATGTTCCTAATTCTTGCCTTGAGCCAGTCTCTTCATATGTAGCTGAAAAAGTGTAATCAATAGCTAAGATTAGGACATAAGAACTCATCTTAATTTGCAAAACCAATTTAGCCACTTCTTCCCTCAAATGTTTGTTTTTTAAAAAATACGGCAGTATCCTTCCAGTAACCAAATGGGATGAAGTAGAAGAGAGAAGAATTTCAGTTAAGATGAGGCTGTGTCCCCCTGTTACCCAAATGAGAGCACCTGTCTGTCATACCTACTCCTGATGAGGTATTCTTATCCCCATTTTACAATGGTGAATAGATATGCCTCTTAAATGGAAACTTCTGGCAGACATGGGAATTGAATTGTGGTGCTGAGGCCCTAGTAACTTAACTCCTGAATCACACTGTAGAGGTAAGGCCAGAGCCTCATTTAACTCTTGCCCCTGTTTTCAAGAGCCAAGCTTATTTCATGCGCAGGTAGCTTCCCCCTATTGCAAGCATAGCAGACCAATGTGTATGTTAGTTTAGATATAGCACTTTCACAATATGCAGTATTTCTTTCCTAAATTTCCTGTTGTACTGACAAAGGAAATGCATTAGATGTTAATCTTATGTAGTATTAGAATGGTGCTGATATGCACAAGTTTAGCTGTTACTGCATTAAGGTTGGATGTCTATCCTTGATAGTTTCAGTTTGAATTTATATTTTCTAGATATTACATTATAAAACTAATGCAAAGATGAGGGACACTTATCTTTCAATAAATGCAGACCATGCAATCCAAGCAAAAACACAGCCCTGCAGTGTTTTGATATGGTCTACTACAAGCATTAATGTTAGGTACTGTCAAGTCTTGAGTGCTGTAGATTTAAGTACTGTTGTGTATCAGCATAATGAAGTATGGTACCATATACCCCCCACCCCAGAAGGGGATTGCTTAGCAATCTTTGGTAACTAGCACTTGCACTAGCTGCTTCAAATCATGTCACTTCAGAGAGGGAGACTTAACTCTTTGGTCAATTAGTGACAAAGTTATTACAGATTGGAAGTTCTCCATTAGGCCTAGCCTGATTTGAGGTGGAGGGGGCCTTGTCATGGAATAAGTTGTCTCCTTGATGCAGACCAAACTAGCAGTAATCCAGGTAGGGCTGACTTTATTCCTAATTATCTTCTGTGATGTGCTAAATTCTGATAACAGGGCTATTGTACAAACTGTCACAGGGGCTTGCTTACCAAGTCAAAGACGGACAATGCACCTTCCCGCTGAAGGATCTCAGAGCAATACAAATAAATGGAGCCTCAGTAGCCCTGAGAGGCAAGTGTTTTAAAGAGTTGAAGTGGTTTACCTAAGTCACAAACCAGCTCTCCAGGTATGATCCACTGCCATAACTAAGACTATTTTACCCTTGCTTACATAATTTAATGGTTATAGGAATAAATGGGAGAGTATAAAATCAATTTGAAATGGCTTTAGGATAGAGCAGCTATATTAGAAGCTCACTTAAGACACATCTTAAGACTTATCAATACTAGTGTTCTAAATGCCCTGCAGTAGATGCTGTTGGTACAACATACTGATGTACGTTAACATGCACTAGTTATTACTTTGTGCCAGTATGGTTTACATAAGGCAGAGGAGTGCAATAGAGTACTGTAAAAGTCACACCCCTGTAAACTATTAAATTCAGGATAGAATTGCAGTGTCTACAAAAAATCTGAAAGCAGTCTTGAGTTGACTGGTAAAGCTATACATGGAATCTGTAATTTGAAGTTAATAGCACTAGTTGTCTACTCAACTGAAAAATGAAAAGGATAGCTTAGTTTATACAGAGGTTGTGTTTAAATATGCTGGTGTACTCAGCAGAAATGCCCCCAGGTTGCCAAATGTCATCTTCCATTCTTGACACTATGGTCTTTGGCACAAGTTTACTAACATTCATTCTTATCTGAGAGGCAATATCTTTTTTTCAATAGGTCAACAAAGCTATCTCCAACTTTCAAATGAAGTATGAACCTTGATCTGACAGTAAATGGCATACTTTAGTGCAAGTTAACATCTTTCCAGTACATAATGCAAGGTTAATACATTAAACTCCTACTCCAAGTTAAGAAAACCGAAACTTGTATTGTAGTAACAATGTGTTACATATTGTCGTCATCTGATTCATCCTCCTCTTTCAAAGACTCCTGTTTAAAAAAAAAAAAGTATAATCAACTACTATGTCTTGTACAGTTGCTCCTGAACAAGTCCTAGTATCCGCCTACAAAGGATTTGACTCTCTAAAGCTAACACTTGACTTATTTACAGTAATTCACTGTAAGCAAGTGAGAAATTTTAGTCTTACCTGTACAAATTGGATGCAACAATTACCATACCACAGTAGTAAACAAAGCCCTGTATCCACACAGCCTGCATAGCTCCCAGTGGCAGTTAACAAGGTTGCATGGGAAAAGTGTCAAATCCTCTGGTTTTGAAAATGATGGCTGCACTTCAATGACATTTCTTGCATACTAATGTGGAACTGCTACATGCACACAATACTTATGTTTTTCCTGATCAATTCCTATTTTAAAGGGCTACTGTGCTGGGTGTAGGTGATTACTAATGTCAGTTCAATTAAAAAAACTAATCAGCATTTGATTTACTGTCTTATTTAGGCAAGGAGAAGCATGACTGCTGTACCAAATGTGAACCATACATTGCTGAATGCACATTTAATCAGCTGAAGATGCCATGGGATTACTTTTTCTAAACTTTCAGGTAACTGATTCTGAATCTCTTTAAAAACTGTCTGAGCTTTGCCTCACAAAATACTGACTGTCATCTGAAGAAGTAGGTTGCACCCATGAAAGCCCATGATACCATCTACATGTTAATAGACTAGTAGCACCTTAAAGACTAAGTTTTTCCTGTTAGACTAACTTAGCTACCCCTCTGAAGTATGTCCAAAAGCTTAACTTAATGCAGTTCTAGTTGCCAAAATATTGGACAAGATGAACTTTGTGCAGTTAATTCTATTCTGGACTTGAGTTTTGAACCTGCTAAATAAAATTGTTGCTTACCTTGGCATATTTTTCTGCTTCTTCTCTGATGTCTTTTGGAACAATTTCGTGTTTTCCTTTTGTTACTGTGAATGAATAATACATTTAAAGACTTCAGAAATTACTGGTATAAATACAACATTTAAGCCTCAAAGTAAGTTAAGCCTGTTTGTAGTTTCCACTGACTAAGATATTTTACTTTCCCTGTAGTATAGGTGGAATTAGAATTTCTTTAGTTTGCTGTACTCCCATAGAATTTACATCAGTATAACTTATTCACTTCTATAATCAAGGATGGAATAGCTAAAGCTAACAAAGAAAACAAAATACATTACTTTCTCCAACCCAGCTGAGTTCAAGTTCAAAAGCTTTATCCTTCACTTCATCATGAACTATGTAGATTCTAGAAAGAATAAAGAAACAGGTTTCTGAAGTTAGACATTTTCCTTTCCAAAAGCTAAGGATTAATGTGAAATGAACAAGTATGTTACAAAACTCCCGCTAGTTTTCAATATCACCATTTTCCTGATTTTAAAATCTCCTGTATGACCCGCACACAATCCTGTATGTAGTTTTCTTCCATCAATGTTTGAAGTAAATGCTGAAATTAACATTGCCTTAATCACTTACACTAGCATTCACTAATAGTAACATTTTCAGCCTAATACCACTAACCAGTAAAGTATCCTGCTCAGATTCAGACAGTATAGCACTTAAGTGACCCCATGGCATTGCCATTGTCCTATTGCCACAACCATTGGTGAAATAAAACCAGCAAATAAGTCTTCAAAAATGTTTCCTGCAAGACATACAGCTTTAACTTAAACAACATTAACAGTACACATGTGCATGCACACCTGTAATTAGCTTGTGAACAAGTCCTTATTGACATGGAACCAGTCATGTGTTGCCATGGTTTGCATGGAACCTAGAAGGGTTAAGTTGTTCATTTACACTGTTGTATATACATGTGAACCTCTTAATCTCACAACCCTGAGAAACTGGGTGTGCCTGATTAAGGAATTAAGAACATAAGCACCTTTATATCCTTAATCTATAGCAACATCTCAATGTCATCTTGGTTAACGTTTTGTTACATTACTGACTAAAGAACACACTTGTTTAAAGTTGTGCAATATTCACTTAAGTGTTTGGCTGCCAGCTGCTTTGTCAACTGCTTGCAGGAGTCATGATTTTAAAGACCTTTATCATAGGGCTGGAAGAGACCTTACATTGTCAGGCCAGCCCCCTGCCCAAAGCGGGACCAATCCCAACTAAATCATCCCAGCCAGGGCTTTGTCAAGACAAGACTTAAAAACTTCTAGTGATAGAGATTATATCCCCATTAATCATCCATTTCCAAGATGAAAATTCCAAATTTTATTTCTCTCAGCTAGAAGCTGTTCCATACTCCTGTTTGTTACCCTTTTCTGAACCTATTCTAATATCTGGACAGAGCTGTCACTATGCAAATGTTGAAGCCTCCAGTACTTTTTGTATTCTAATTGCATAGGCCAACCATGCCCCCAGTTCATTCAGTTTGAAAGAGTTTGAGCCCCCTTCTCACAAGGCTTGAAATAAGTACCACAGTCAGAGATCCTAGCTAAGTTCTCTGGTTCAGCTTATCTCATGGCAACCTGAGAAATCTGCCATATGGAGCATGCATATGCCCTAATACAAGGACTCGTACTAGAGTATTTTTTCAGGGCCTTTAACATTTTGCTTCAAAAATACTGGAATCTCAACTTAAGTACACTAGATGTACACTCAGTGTAATTCTTACAACTGCAAATGTTTGAAGGGGAAAACACTAACCCTAACTCAAAAGTATTTGCAAACTACCATTTAATTCATACAAAGGATCAAGGACAGAATCCTAGTGAAGGTGGTATTTTATAAATACGTAGTCAGCAGTTTAGATCAGCTCAGTGCCAGAAATGGAAACTAAAGCCTTTATCGCTAAGGAAAAATGTCTGGAAAAGAAAAAGGTCAAAGAGCTACTGCTATGAACTACCATGAAAATACAAAGGGAGGAGACACAAGAGTGAGCAACTGTAAAATTAGACAAGAGCAGCCTCAGAGGAATGAAGGCGGAACACCACAAAGTTAAAACAGCACCCTTGCAAGTCCTTCCCATCCCTGCTCTGTGCCTGCCTTCCCTGAGCTACAGGATCCAAGGGATTATTAGGGCACCTGGTGTGAAGCAGCAGCAGGGTCTCCCTCATGCACTTATCACAGCAGAGGAGCTGGAGCAACCCTGCTCCACTGCACCACCCATCTCCCAGCCTGCTGTGCTCTGCTTCACCATGGCAGTGAGCCTCAGGCCTCAGCCTGCTCCCCTCTGCTTCTCCTAGCCTTACACCACTCAGGGGAATAGAGCAGGCCAGGTCACTCTGCTTGCCACCATGAAGCAGAGCACAGCAGGCTGCTACCGCCAGAGTAGGTACCGAGACGCTCAACCCCTTTCCCCCTGCACCAGGTGCCCAAGGTAATCTCCCAGGCTACCCTGGGCCCCCACTGGTCCTATCCATAGGACAGTTGAGGCAGCCCCCCAGAATTACCCTATGGACAGGATGGCACTGAAGCCTGCTATACCCCAAGGCTGCACTCAAACATTCCTATTTTTCCAGTATTCTCAATTCTGCATCCCAAGTGTATTTTCTCCCCTGCCAGTGTCTGTGTGGTTTATAGTAGGGATGTAATAGTGTACATGTTTAAACAGTTACACACAAGGCACCTCTCCCTCTACCCCCCAAAGCACTGCTGCCTCTGTCAGAGGAGGAGATGGGAAGTACCTGAGACCATAATTCATTGTTCAGTTTGCATACTGAGACCTATTTCCATATGCCTCTGCATTTATCTTTTACTGCTTTCCACCTAATTATGAACCCCATCACCAACTTCCCTCTCTCTCAAGTGTTTCCATTTAAAAAGTTAACATTTATCTACACTTAACATACTGTTACAAGAAACACCCATAGCAACTAATGGAAAAAATAAAGATACACAAAGAAAACCAAGGGAAAACTTGTATTGGCAGTCTGAGTTCACTTGTTTCACTGTTTCCTCTGTATAGTCAGTTTTCCCATGCTGTGTAGAGCTTTCATATCATATGGAGGGAGGAAAAACCACAAGTTTAAAATAAGGAAAGAAGATTGTAAAACTACCAAAGTTAATGTGACAGCCCTAGGAATAGGAGTAGTACATGAAGTTTCCAGTGTGTTTTTTTTTAAAACTGACTAGGGTCTACGAAGATATGTTTGTTTTTCATAAGGAGGGATGAGAGAAAGAAGAGCCCTGGGGATAAAAGGCCAGAAGAAAGGAAACTTACATTTTTGCAACTTCTTTAACAACATCACGGCAGGTCATTTCTTTCATCTGTTTGTAAGGAATATGAAATTTAGTTGAGTATTTAACGTTGTTTTCTAAAAATAAAAAGTTATCCATTAAGGGAAAACCACAATATTGGTGGCTGATATACCAAAGTGTATCACTTATGCAGGAACAAGCATCTGCTCAACAATACCAACGAACAGAGGGTCAGTCACAAGTAGAACCAAATTAAGTTAACATGTAATAATTTGTTTTCAGTTTTTGTTCAGACCGCAATTTTTGTATGAGCTCCAAGAGTTATTCTTCCCCGTATTTGTTCAGTTACAGATGACAGACTCTCAGCGCACATTTTCAGTTTAAGTGTTCCTTTCAACAAAGCTTAATAGTGGAACATCTTTTTACAAATCTCAGCGCGCATACCTTTATTTGGTTGATTAGATCTTGATACCTTCTGACAGAATGTAACTCATGAGACTGCTATACCAACAAATGCATCTCTATTTTAGCACGTTCTAACAATCATTCTTCTGGAGTCTTGAGGGCATCTACTTACTGCCCAGTCCTGAGGCAGTCCACTGGCAGCTGACCAACCTAAAGTTTCATATTTGATAATGGTAACATTTACAAAATTAAATTCCAGTATTCATGACATGGCACAAACTCAAGTAATAACATTCATACACGTGCCAGATCTCGTACACCTTCTGCCTTTTAGGATAATGGAAAAAATAATACAACCTGCCACTGATTTAATGCTGATCCTTGTTCCCTTTCCCCAATAACTGATTCTTAACGGAGACATGGGATCATGTCTGGTAAGTGTTTGTCTAGATAAGAGGAATATAAAGTTTACAGTGGTCTAGCATGTCTTGTGCTACATGCTGCTGTACACAAAAAATTCCCTCATTCATTAATGTACTCATTTCAAAGCAATGTAGATCAAAGCTCACCAGGGAACTTGAAATGGGTAACAGCAGGGCCCAGACATCTCATGTACAGCAGGCAAGTATGGAGTAGATTTACATCTTGTCTTGCCAGGAACTAAGTGCTCGTGTTGACAAACCCTAAGTTATCACACACCAGTATCTTTATATAACTAATGCATGCACCACAAAATGGATTTTTGCATTTATGCACAAAAGTTACCTGTGAAAGAGTATGAACTCTATTAGTCTATTAATTTACAAAGTTTTGCAGGTGACATGTTTGTCTAGATATTATGCCTGGCCTCCTTTTTCATTTCAGGTATGTTAATCCTGCAGCCCAAAAAAATCAAAAGTTTGACACTGAATGGGTTACTATATCATTTAGTGTTCATATCCAAAGTAATACGAGGGAAATTTAAACATTAGATGGTGCATGTATTGTCACAGAAGAAGCTGAATTTCAGAGATACTAAAAAACCCCTTTCCCCTGTGCAAATACTGATTTTCACTTTAAAGTATTAAGTGTCTACAGCTACAACTAGAAGTGATTAATACAGTGGCTCTCCATACTGTAGACCACTTACGATGGAAAGTATTTCACTAGCCATCTCCTCTCCCAGATTCTATATATTTTTACTGCAGAATACTTAGCTGTTCCCCTATCCTGCATGGCTGTCTGAAAAGCAAATAATACTAAAGGAGGAAAAGACTTGTTTTAGTATAGGCATAGCTACTTCCTTATCACTCCTCTTTCCTAGAGAAGATATTTGGAGACATGAGGAAGACAACAGCACTCCTACCACTGCATACCGCAAAAGCATTATTAATAAACACCCTCACGAGTTTGTGTCACTCAAATGCAGCAAGTGCTATTCTGCCAATCTGTGTATACCGAAATTGACACAGCATTGTTTCTCAGATGCCAAGATTAGTGTCACCATTGTCTCTGTTTAACTCAATGTATGAACAGTACACTGAACTAAAGACCGATCTCTGATGGAATCCAGCCTGACATATGTAGATTAAATTTAATAATAAAAAATTAAGAAATGTTTTTAAATCTAAGATACAAAAAGATACAGAAAACGGGCTACATTTTAATGGCAATTCAAAAAATTTAGTACAAGCCAGGACTAGAATAAACTACAAATCTCTAAATTTTAACAGCTGTTAGGTAAACTTTCAGATTGTCAAAAAAAAAAAAAAGATGCAGGGGGGAGGTGAATTCATCAGATTGTGATGAATCAGTTTTTTCCTGCTCTTTTAAAGGACTTACTAGTTTTACAAGGTTCATATTCTCAGATGTACTATGTGTTTGTGTATATGGTTTTTTTTATAGTTAAATAAAACATAAGTTACATAAGAGAAATGGCAAAATCAAATTAAATTTAAGATCCTAAAACAATACTGCAGAAGTTATTAGGAGGCATGTTTAAATACATTTCAGCAGTCACCCAAAACAAGGATTACTTTACATAATCATCTGAATGCATAGTTGATAAATATAAATGCTTTGATATGAAACGATATGATTTAAGTCTCAAGATAAGCAATCCATCTGTATTTTGCAGTACCATAAGTCCCACAATTTGGAGCTCTTTCATAAAATCAGACGCCATTTTTGTATAAGAACTTACATTTATTGCATTAACAGAAGACTAATACTGTACAGTGTTTAATTAGGGCAGAACTAAGAGGAAGGACAAGGACAGATTATTTTCCCCATATCATCATTGTTGCATTTGTAGTTTGACTTCTATGAAGTCTCAACAATCCTATCTTATAAGTGGTTTTCTTCTAAAACCAAAATGCTTTACAGTATTTTAGAAAGATTAAACTGCAGTATTATTGAAGAAAACATGTTGAACTGATATACCATAGTTTCTCCAGTCTCATTAGTATTTAAGGGCGTGATAGGTTTCAGGAATTCAACAAAAAGCTACATAAGAACTTTGTGCTCAATTGTCTCGTACCACCACCTTGATTTGGCCCATGTGCCTTCTGGACAAAGGCATGGCTGACTACCACCAGTATTTTAGTGTGACAATTTACTTTTGGGGAGTATCTTGTAACATCTATATTTCTCATTTGTATATCATTAGGATATTGCCTATAAAGCATGTCATGTGAAGTATCAGAGAAAGATTATGAACTGCTAAAAGCCACTATTCTTTGTATGGTGGTCACTAAAACACAGTAAGTTGAGGAATGAGCTCTCCAGACACAACAGCAAGGAGACTAACCAATGCTAGGGTCACGTATCCAACAGCCATCCTCCAGCAAGGAAGCAACAACTCAGTGAATCACCTGCATGCGACCACACCAGGAGAATTGCTCAACCTTGCCTGAAAATTCAGCAATGCCCACCTGACACACAGGGACTTGTGTTCTTCAGGCACATCGGAGTGAGTATAAGAGACCACAGGAGCCCCATGCTTCACCCCACCTACGCTGCAAACAACAAAGGCACTGAAGACTAAAGGCTCTAATAGAGCCCAGATTTAGAGACAAAACTATATATTAAGGACTGCAATATCCAGTGGTTAAGTTGCTTAATCTAGTTGCTGCCCAGTCTAACAGGGTTGAGAGTTTAGACGAAGTGTTTATATTTTATTTCTTTTGGTAACTAATCTGACTTTTTTCCTAATCACTTATAGTCACTTAAAATCTGTCTGTTGTACTCAAACATGCTTTACTGTTTATCTTTACCAGTGAGTTTGTCTGAAGCGTCTGTTTATTTGCTCAGGTTTCACAAAGGCTGGTGTATCTATTTTCCACAGATGAAGTGGTAAACCAATTAATAAATTTTGCACTGCTCATCATCAGTACAAGACCATATATTCCTGAGGTACAAGGCTGGGAGCTGGGGTTATTTGGCTGGTGCCTTTCTCTGGTTCATGTGTGGCTTTGGGAGCATTCATGCAGTCTAGCTGTGTGTTTGGGGGAGGAGGGGTACTATATGCTGCTGTGTGGAGTGATCGCAGCACTTGGAGGCGTTTGCTGCTTGTCACTAGCAAAGCATTGAGAGAGCACAGGTTGGAGAGTTAGGGGGGCACAGCAGATCCACAGTCTCAGCCTGCACCCCAAATATCCCATCACAGCCTCAATCTAATTTTTTACACCAAAATAGAATGAGTGCAATTATATTCCTCCAGTCATTTGATGTAATTCAGGGCATGTCTACACTACTGGATCAATGGGCAGGAATCAATCCATCATATATACAGGCAGTCCCCGGGTTACGTACAAGGTAGGGACTGTAGGTTTGTTCTTAAGTTGAATCTGTATGTAAGTCGGACCTGGCATCCAGATTCAGCCGCTGCTGAAACTGACCAGCGGCTGACTACAGGAAGCCCGAGGCAGAGTTGCTCTGCCCCGGGCTTCCTGGAATCAGCTGCAGTTTCAGCAGCAGCTGACTTGGGGATGCCTGGGGCAGAGCAGCTGGGGTGCTGCTGGGGTGGTCCAGTAGCGCCAAGGAGCGGTGCTGCGGGACCAACCAGCAGCGCCCCACCTGCTCTACCACAGGCCCCGGGCTTTGCTCCACATCTCCCTGGTCCACTGGGGGGGGGGCACTAGCTGCATCCCCCCCCAGCAGACCAGGGAGACGGGGAGCAGCTTTTCTCGCCCCGGAGGAGGCGGGCGGCGGGACCAGGCGTCCCGCCGCTCCAGTCCTCCGGGGCGAGAAAATCCTCATTCGTAACTGCGGATCCAACATAAGTCGGATCCGCGTAACTCGGGGACTGCCTGTACTAGATGTGATAAATCAATTGAAGAGTGGTCTCCCATTGACTCAGGTATTCCACCAAAATGAAAAGTGTAGGCTGAATCAACAGGAAAGCATCTGCCATTGACTCACTGCAATAAGTAGACCTAAGTATGTCCACTTCAGTTACTTTATTCACATAGCTGAAGTTGCGTAACTTAGATTGATGGCATGCAATAGTGTAAATTAGGCCTCACATATAGCAACACTATCATGCTTTAGGTGTCGGGCTTTCAGTTGAAATAAATATTTTCATGACAACTTACAGGTATCAGAGCATTTCACACTAACGAAGAAAGTAGTCCCTAAATGCAATTTGATTTTTCCCCATTTGCTAGAAACCACTTTACCACAGATTACCTACATAATCTCTAGTACAAGTTAAGGAATATATTTTTGCACTGCTGAACTAAAAGGCTGTGTAATATCTTCCAAGTTATTAGATGAATAATTTGTATGTTACACAATTAACTGATTTTCAGGAGTTCTACAAAGAAAGGTGTGAATGATTGATAATTGCAGGTTAACTGAACTCTCTGGGGATATGTCTACACAGCAGCGTTATTTTGGAATAACGTTAGTTATTCTGAAACAACAATGCACATCTACACAGCAAGCCATTATTTTGAAATAATGTTGAGCTGGAGGACTTCTTACTCCGACTCCTATAACCCTCATTTTACAAGAAGTAAGGGAAGTCAAAGGAAGAGTATTCTTCCTTCGACTTCCTGCTGTGTAGACAGCACCAAAAGCCAAATTAAACTATTTGGACTTCAGCTACGCAACTGACGTAGCTGAAGTTGCATATCTTAATTTGACTTTTGGCCTGCAGTGTAGATGTGCCATGGGGAGCCTCACCTTTTAACAGTAATAAATTAACATACGGCTTTGCAAGTGTCTCTCCAAACCTGAAGCAATTTAAGTAGCTATAACAAGTCCTTCATAAGTGACTCAATAGCCATTTAATAAATTCAGTTTACACCAGATGTTTGATTACTTCACCCTATGCTCTGTATAGTAAACCATTTATTCTGAGCTGAATTTGAACTGTTCAAACCTTTGAGGAACTTCAAAGTGCTGCTTCTCCTCTCTCCCCTCCCCACTTTTCCTTGCAAAAGAAGAGATTTTCTAGAAGACATCACCTTTTACTGCCCCTCCCCCACCCACAATTACACAGGCTTGTGGGGAAAGTTGGGCAATGTTCCAGTATTTGATTAGTAACATTTCAAATCCATCATCTGTGTGTCTTGAAGTATAGAAACGGGAGCTTTACACAGCTTTCCAATGGAGCCCTTTGTTAGCCTCGGAGCATCTAAAAAACCTGACTTCTCAGGACTTACATTTATTTTAGGCAGCTTTTAGAACAGTGATAGGCAACCCAGGCAAGTGGGGCCATCTCAATGGGCCACAAGATTGTTGTAACCAAGATGTTTTTCCGGGGTCAGGTAGTTTCACTAACTGCTCTTGTGTATCTAGTATTTGCAGGGTGTGCCAACTGAACTGTAGCAGCACTTTGACCGGATGCAGAGGGAGCATATGACTCTCACAGTCAATGTTACGGGCAATTGGCATGCACCTCAGTTGACATGCGTATAACTTTTGTAATACCAGTAGAAAAAACAGGCTGCCCATCACTAATTTAGAGTATTTAAAAATTCTCCCTTGGAGTCCAGGACAACCATAATACGTGAGCCAAACTTCATAGAGAGCAGAAAAAGTTTTAACAAAAACAGTTCAAAAAGTGGGTTTATGTTCTTCATATACTGCATTTGATGGTGTAAGTGGGTATGTAAGTTTAACTGGTACTGTTAAACTCACAAGTTACTTTGCCTATCATTAATATAGCCATCCAAGCTCATGTCAGTAAGTTTTTATTGCTACATCTCTCTATACTGTTTTAAGAAAATCTTAGAAAAATGGTATCAACTTGCTATTCAACAAGTACAATGAAAGGGGGCAAGATGACTTGCTAGTGCTTCCCTTGATGAGAACAAACATCACTGATCCTATTCTTCTCCATGACACTATATTTTCATCTGAAGTGGGTTGTGCTACTATCTATATTTTCAGTTAGTCGCTAAGGTGCTACAGGACAACTCACTTTTTTTTTTTTTTTTAAGTTACTAACCCAATCACCCCTCTGAGAATATTTTATTACAATTCAGAGTATTTCTTTGGTTATCCATAATGGGAAAGATGGGGATGGTACTATCACAGTAGGTTATAGGAAAATGTTCCTGTGCAGAGAAAGTAGCTTCCTTTACTTGCTAACTTCCCTGGTGCCCCCTAAACCTTACCTTAAAAAACCCTTATAGCACAACAGTGGTAGCTCAGAATACCTGTCTTGAAATGAATTAGTACAGAACAACTGGATATACTGTATATTGTAAATACCATCCTACCTGAAGTTTTTCAATTTCTGTCTTTGCAGCTTGTCTGGCTTTACCAATGGCACATCCCCAATAACCCTATAAAAGCAACAAAAGGAGAAGTTAAAGTTTAATTAATCTTTCTTGCAGGGCAGGTTTCTTTAGTTGTAAGAACTCAGTAAACTGTTGTAGTTTACAATACTGAACTATGAGCATACCTGTAGGTAATGTTACAGAAACCTCCAAATATCTTTTCAGTAAATTCCGCAGAGCAGAATCCTATTTATACTAATTTTTTAACAGAGTAAGTGAAAACTCACAAAAACTAAATAGATAAATTGGATATGGTAATGTCTTTTATTGGACCAGCCTCAGGTGGTAAGAGATGAGCTTTCAAGCTTTAAATACAGGGTTTTTTTCTTTAGGACTGGAAAATTAAAGTATCACTGCTAAATCCAAGGTTTGAACAGTCTGCTTAGCATAAGTAGTTAGTTAACACATTTTAAGGGACCATTCAAAGTGACCTCTGCAGTCATAGGGAGGAAGGGAACAGGGTAGGAGTAACCACTAAGGTGGAAACAGGGTATGGGGTCGTAAGTGGGTTGCGGATAGTTGTAATAAGCCATAAATAGAGTGTGTATTCAGTCCATGGTTTTTAGCTTGCCTTTTGAAAGCAGGTTTCCTTTGAGGAAAGATACAGAATGATCGCTCTGTGAAAACTGTTCCACGGATGATATGGTCTTTTTGCATTTCTTCATTTTCCTACACTCACTTGACAACCATGATTTGGTTTCATCCACATAGTTGCCACTGAGGAATTTAATGTGCTGGATGAGGTACACCATGTGTAGCAACAGGCATGTATGCGTAAGACCCATGGATCTTAAAAGGTATATTGAGGGGAGTGTTCATCATTGTAGCAATGGAGGTATGTGCACGTTTTGCATCTGTGAATCTGACAGTCCGGTGCCACTGAGTTAGGCTGTGGCTACACTTCTACTTGCTTGACAAAACTTTTGTCATTCATGTGTGCTTAACTCCTCTCGCTCGTGAAAAAGGTTTTGCCACAACAAGTGCACATGTGACTGCTGCTTTGTCAGCAGGCCAACAAATAGCACATACACATGCTGACTTTTAGTGACAGAACTGTGTCAACACAGATCCTAGACTAGAGATGTCAATGTGTAATCCACTACACTGCCTTGGCTTATCTGTTAGTCCTGTTGACTACACCCCTCCGCCCCACCCTTGCTGTCTCTGTAGGAGGAGGAAGTGGGAGCCAGTGCCCAAGAGAAACTGGCTTTAAGCATGCTCCCCACAAGCACTGGATCTGCCTGCCCCCTTTCACACCTACACTGCTGTCTGTGATAGAAAGGCAGCAGCACTGAGGCTGATGGGGGCAGGCTGCAGCCAATACACATGGGGAACCAGCTCCCTGCACATGCCAACTCCGCGGACCTGTGGAAGAGGCAGCGAAAGAAGGGCAAACAGGAGTTAGTGCTGGGGGAAGATGGCTTAGAAGGTAACAGAATAGGGGAGGGGGAAGCTGCCGCAAAGCTCCCCTCAGATGGAGGCTACTGCTACCCTGCACTGCTGCTTCTGCATCAGAGGCAGCAGCGCAGGGCAACAGGCAGCCAGTCTGAGCAGGGAGCTGGTTTTTAAACTGGCTTCCCCCTGCTATTGCCTCTGATAC